TGCGGAACTCTTAGCCATGCGTCGATCTAGCTTTCGCAGTGATAAAGTTTGCGACGGAGTGTGTGGACATCGGTAACACGCTGAGCGTATCGAAACTGCAACAAATACATCCAGAACGGTTAGTAGGGATTCCTATCGATTCGGATGTTCCCCGAACGACGGCAGTGCTGGGAATTGGTCGATGAAAATTTTCTTTCACCGAAATAAACGGCAAATCAATCGTCAAAATCAATCAATACGTGTAATCACGAATGATCAAGTCGATTGATCGAGATAAATTATTAATCGGTGTATAATCAAACCAAAGGTTTGATTAATAATTAATTTCATCAATCGGCGAAAGTACTTGTGATTTTATATGATAGCGACTGATCAATCCTGAATACTGATTCGTCGATTATTTTAGTCAAAGAAAAATTTTAATCAATACCGAATGATGATCAGGTTCTCCATCGGACGCCTTCCATTCGATCTTCCTCGACAAATCGATCATGGATCGATCGGGGTGGACTTACGAACATCTTTGCCGCAATCCATGCAAACTAGGTGAAATACTTGTCGTTCAATTTTGTTGTAAGTTGCTCTATTTTCAAAATAAAAATATATAAAAATTTAAAAATCATTGATGACTAACGTCATCAGCCATTTCACATAATACGAAAATCACTGTACTTTTATTTCAACCGATATATTCTGATTTCTGTAATTCTCAAATATCTTAGGAATATGACAAACAATATAGCAGCAGCACACTACGGAGAGTAGGCCATAATAATGGAAGAAGTATAATCCTCCGTAATACGAACTTCTGCATCCCGGGTCGTTCTTTATTATACGTCATCAACAATTATATTATACACAAGTTGTAATCACATCGTCCGTGTCGTTGTAATCACAATGAGAAATCCGTTTACAACAGCAATAAAGTTCTAACATCCAGTTTCATTGTAACGAAATCGAGAACGAAGTAGCAGGTCGAAGCAGGTCTTATTCGTTCAGGAAGATCGTCTAGGAGCTAAAGAACTGTTCCGTGTCGTTCACTGATCCCACGCGTTGTACTTCTTCCGGCGCATCAAATTGGGGATGAATTCTCTGCTGTACCGATGTACAACCGACTTGGACACCGAGTACATCTGCGCGGCCTTCCTCAGGGACATCCCGCGGGCGACCGCTTCGACCGCCCTCATCACTTGTCCGCATCTTTCATTCCTCATGTATTGCGGGCGCGTTTTAGGAGCGTGCAGTCCTGAAACATGAAGGGAACGCGAGTAAAGTACACGTGCCTGCGCGGACTCGAACCACTAGGAGGCGACGAGTCCGACAGTGTCCTCCTTCTCGCGCGACATTCTTCGCGGAGGGAAGCTGATGAGTAATTCAAGGCAAAAAACATTGATCCAATAATCGAGAAGCTCGACAAACGACAAATCGAGAACTTTGCTCGCTCTAGGTAATGAGGAGGTCATTAAAATTAAGGAACGTCATCCCCACTCTGTGTCTTTTGATATGTTTATTGCAATTGCACATAAATGAAAGAACACGGGAATATTGTATTTCCTGAAAAAATCGTATATCCTCCTCCTCCTCCTCCTCCTTCTCCTAGCCGTAAGCAACATTACGAGTTGTTTACGAAACGCTGTGGATTGCGAGGACGTTCATATAATTTATAGGCAATATCACAAGTATCAAATAAAACAATGCGAATCCAACGCATGTAAATTTGTACGAGCAGAAACGATACGTTACTTAGATCTAAAGTAGATTCTGGGCCGAGTTTCAGCAAGAATTTGAGTGAAATGCATTGCCATTTTATTGAACATCAAGTGACCATCAAATATTCGGGTGTACATAATCGCCACAAGCAATGCATTCGATCTGGATGGAGATTTCTGGGGCCTGATGCTAATACCTTACTTCATAGGCCCCTCTTGATTGCTAATAATATAATTTATATACAAAGTGAAGAGACACATATATAAAGTGAAGAAAAAATTTTTCAAGAAACAAAAAATAATAATCATGAAAAATATACACCATTATAAACTATAAAATTTATAGTATTTCAAAAATATTTATTTTCATGCAATACTATAACTTTTATAGGTTATATATTTTATAATGTCAGAAGAGAAAGTTTTTACATGAATATTATTTATTATAAAAATTATTCTTCGAATTACATATGTTTAAATTGTATTATTACAAACATTATTTCAAACAACTTTTGATTACCCTAATACAATTTAAACATATATAAACTAAAGAAAAATGCTTATAACAAATAGTAATTATAAAAACTGTAACATTACAAAATATATAATCTGTAGAATTTATAGTATCTTAAAAATTTATTTTCACAAGATACTATAAATTTGATAGATGAGATATCCGAGATATTCCGAGTATCACTAATTTCAATAAATCAGTATAAATCCGGCCTTGGATACGATAATGTCAAATGTACTTTCGGCGTGAGAATCGTCACGAAGCAGTCGATCCTCATATACATTCCTCAGATATATTCGCGTGGATCCTCTTTATGTGCGACTTTAGGTTCCACTTGCGGTTGCTCTTGTAGCTGCAGTACGGACAGCACTCCGCCTTCTTCTGGCCACAGGAGGCTCTCATGTGCTCTACGAGGTGATGCTTCCACCGATACGATTTGCTGCATTTCGAGCACTTGTACCTACCCGCGATTGGACTTATTTGTTTAAGCTTGTTTTTCCGGCTCAGGACGTTGCTGGTGGAGCCTGCAACCGGGATTCGATAGGCCTCCCAGGCGATAATCCGACCTGAAACACAAAAGCCGCCACGTCATGTACATGTTGAAGACGCCGAAGTGTCGGGAGCAGCAGCTCGAGCGAATCTCGGGTCTGGCTTTGAGCGATCCGCTCGACTTAAGTTAGTAACTTACGTCTAGACAGCATACGACAAACATTGACATTCTCGCAGTATGTTTCATACCTATGTGTGTGTGGTGTGCGGAACCTGGAACTAGTGCGCCGTGCCCGCGGTATTCTTCACCGCCTCACGTGTAACAATGAACGAAAAGACTATGGATGACACATGGCCGTCAATAATTACCGACGCAATGTTGGGTCTGTATCGAGGATAGGAAGGAGAGTGACGCAGAGAGGACCGGAACTCGGTCGGAGTAACTTGGAGAACTTGGACTTTTGTGCGAGCTGTCACATGTAATTATTCTGCACTGAGAGAAAAAGTTTCTAAAAAATAAAAACACATTTATTCGGTGAGTATCGATAACATACTTATTAATGTTAATATAAAATATTTTCCAAATAAGAATACATCGATCTTCTGAAAACCCTAGCCTTTCGTGAGAAGCAATTGTTTATTCTACTTAAATTCAAGTGTAAAAACGTCATTGGTACTCACCGGATATTTTTGACTTTTGAGATATTTTTTCCCTCAGTGTACGGCAACTTGTATAACAATCAAAACGTAATTAAGGAGAAACGTTTAACTAAAGGAGTGAATCTCGAGTCACGGTGTGAACCCGTAAAAATTCAGATTAAAAGAGAGACGAGGAAAGAAAGAGCAGAATTTCTTTTGTAACAGAGAAAGAAAAATAAAAGAAAACGAGTTCTCGTCGACGAAACTCCCAGTCGATGAAACGAAGACGAGTCACCCTCCCGCACGCACAGAAACCAAGAAAGAAGGATGCATTGCGAAGAGAACATTCTCCTGGCTGCGAATATGTACACAGGTATTTATTTAGAAAGCAAACGAATGCGAAACATCGTTACACAAACACTTAATCGTTGCGCGGCGCGGCGCAGCCGACGCGACGTGCGGCTCAATCGATCTATGGATCTATCGATCTACTGATCTATCGACTGGATAAAGTACATTAGCGGTACGTCTCGTAGACAGGTTTGGCTCGCACATTCTTCATTTTCCGTGTCTCATCTGCCGAATATACGTGATCATTCGCGCGTGTGATAGTGAATTTTGCAAGAATAAGAGTAATATGGCAAAATGGAAAGAGAGAGATAGAGAGAGAGAGAGAGAGAGGGGAAGAGGAGAGGAGAAAGGGAGGAGAGGGAGAGAGAAAGACAGAGAGCACCGATGCGAGTTTTCTCGCTGTGGTGCGATTATGTGAATTTCTCGATTTCGTCAGTGCACGTCACGAACTTTTGTCGACACGTTCCTCGCGAACCTCCGCACCTGTACCTTCTTCTTCTTCTTCTCCTTCTTATTCTGTTTACGAGTCTTTTTACGCAAGATACGCTTCCTTTACATTTAATCAGCTGAAACGTTTATCTCGAAAAGTGTTATTTTTCGCCTATGTTACGAAACGTCGTAAGTTAGAAGTTTTCCTCGAATTTGGATATGTGATTAATGTGATTTATGGGACGATATAGCGCTTCGAATGTCCACCTACAAGTCATATCTACGGTCTACGGTGAATATCGCTGCCTCGCGCGTGTCTCATTATTGCACGTGTCGTCGTGAAAAAACTGTCCGTAAAATGAAAACCGGGTGGTGCGCGCGCGCGCGGTACAAAGCTCTAGTATACCGATGCTTACGTTAGATGAAGTCGCGTGAAGTATCGTAAAAGAGGCCACGGATGCGCATATAGCTTATTGCCTACCATGATTATTAGCGCTATCGTAAAAGAAATCACTGACTGTGTTCTGAGATACGTTCAATCGTTTCGGTTTATGTGTGTAAGTAACTCTGTCGTCTCTAAGATCCGCTACACCACATGGCTAAGTGTAGTTTTTCGAGCTAGCGTAATTTACAGTCAAATTGCACTATGTGTGTCGAGCAGTCTCTCTCTATGATGCACGATAATCGACAGTCAAGGACATATTACTCTAATCGCGTTAAAAAACGACTCCATCGACAACATACCCCTAGGTTTACGCTCAACCCCCCTCCCCCGCCGCCTCCTCCCTACCTCCTTCTTAAACATAGCGAGTTAACTTCACGATCATTATATATAGTCTTCGATGATCGGCGTCCACCAACATCCCTCGGCGGCTTATTCTTACAGTTACGTTACGCGACCATTAATGTCTCGTTTTTTCTAGGTAGTAGTCAGACTTTTCTTCCACACATTGCATACATGCCTACACTCTCTCATCTACACGTATACACACATACACACACACACACACGCGCACACATGCACGCACATCTGCATATACGCACGGACACGCGCGTCGCACGCAGTGATTTCGGAGTTACAAACTTGTGAGTTCTCGCGATTCCAAGTGTTACTAACCGTACCGAACGGAAAGTGCTTTTCTTCTTCGGCGACAATACTTCAGCATACGTAGAAAAATCTCACCGACGGCAAGAGCAACGCATTCATTTCGGATATACATCCCCACTTGTAGGAATACAAGTGGGAAATCTCTCGCGGATCTTGCGCGGAAAATCCAGCGAATCCAGCGTTTTCCAAGCTGGAGTACGATTATTTCGACGAACAAAGTTCTCCTACCTTTCTTCAAAGGTAGAATGACACTCCTAATCTCTCGACGCGAATACACTCAGGTCTCTCTTAACTAAACTCGAGACATAATTAAAGAAGAAACGTTTAATTATGTGTACTTATGATTGTACGCTTCTATAGTCGATATATCAAAAAGAAAATCCTACAAACATACCACACTTGGTGTGCTAGAATATAAAAGAATATTGATATCTCGTTATATCTCCAAACCGCAGCTTGAAAAAAAAAAACGAAGAGATCGGTTCGCCCGAAATCTTACGGAAGAAACAGCCTTTAGACTAGATTTTGTTCGCTCAATGAAGCTTAATTATGCCCTACAAATTTAATTCCTCGATCCTCAAGATTTCTGCAAACGAAAGAAGAAGTGAACTAACTTTCTCACTCACGACTCAGAATAGTCTAAAATAATATCTGAAGGAAGATATGACAGAGTCTGAAAGAAGAAATCGACAAACGCGGCGAATGCAAACTTATAAGCTAGAACAGTCGCAGATCGCTCTTGGAGAATCTGGAACGCCAACGACGACGACGACGACGGCGACGACGACGACGATGATGACAACGACGACGTCACACAAAGTCTATAGTACGACACTTAGATCATACTAATCATTGATATGATGTGTCGTATTATAACAATACGACGTCTTACGTGTTCGAGGGTCGTTACTTCGACAGCTTAAAAGCAATCAGACGTAAATGCTGTACATAATCGCCCATCGGTTAGTGTGCGTCGTGCGAGCTATCGATTACGTTCAGCGGAGGAAGGTGCTTTGCAACTACCGTCAAACCCGCGAACATGACTGGCGTATGCTCTTGATCTAAAAGCAAGTACCAGTGAGATCCACGAATTTTACAACAATCGTGAAGCAGCTTTCTCTGCTGAACGCAGCCAGTTTTCTTCTGTTTTCCCATAGCAAGCAACTTTCGCGCGAACTTCCCATCAAATACGAACGGTTAGCATGACAAGCTTCGTGAAGACGTTCCCCGTAGGGCTTAGGACTTTTGTACATAAATTGTTGTAACTGTAACACACGGAAAAATGCTGTTGTATCAATAGGATTGATACACAACGTTGTGGTTAGACTTATGTACATAGACTGGGCGTTTTACAAGAGGCTACAAAGACTTGAGCAGCAAAGAATGTTCTGTTAATCCAGCCATTCCATCTTTGTCTAGCTTCCTCCAATAGGAATTAAGCTAAGGATGGAGTGTCTATGGACAATAAAAGAGGAATATAACTGTCTTTCAAATCTTGTCTTTAAACTTCTCATTAGAAAGCGCAGTCTGTATAAGTCTTCGGCTGGAATCATATAGAACAGACATATAGAATAGATTGCACATTGTTTTAGAAGAGATGAAGTCAGGATTAGTAAGAGAGGGTAATAGAGAGGAAGAGATGATTTCCTTATCTAATTGTCTAATTGATGGCGAGAACTGTTCAAAATGATAGATACAAAATGACAAGGTTTAACTCGAATTTCAATCTAAACCAATGTGAACCAATAAAATGATGATTGATTTATATTGAAATTCAGACTGAATATAATATAATTTTATCGTTTTATAATAATTATTTTAAACAGGGGTTATATAATCAATGTGTCCTCTTTTCCTTTCATTATATCCTATTCTTTCTTTTGTTTTTTTCTATATCAACCCCTCTCCCTCTCCCTCAAAGTACTGTATAATAAAGGAAGCATTTGACTTAGTATAACTTTGTCCTTCAATCTTGCCATCAGCCGTCCCACAAGAGTGCGCAGTCTATTTTATAAGTCTATGGGTTGGAATAAATCTTCTTGATTTTAAACAATGTGCATTTGCTTTAACAACTCGAGTATTAGTTTCAAGAACGTTGCTGTTGAATCAAGAAAATTTATTTCATACGGCGCGCTGTTGGTCAATTCTACTAATTCAACAGCACTTTTTTTCCGTGCAAGACGTAAGCTCAAATTCAAGAATCAGTCAGGATGTTGCTTTAAATTAGTAGGCCCTAAAAGAAGACAGAACTGATGGTAAGTTTAACATGGTAAGTTTAAGCGTAAGTGACTAAGATTCGACTGTTAAAGTCACAGTCACTCAGTCTGGATCCTAGCTGCACGATCACCCCTATCTTCTCCTGGATAGAACAATCCTAAAGCAATGTCCTGATTACTTCTTCGGGGATATAGTTTACGTCTTACGTCGAAGGTTACGGCAACTTGTGTGCGGAAGCCCTTACGGATATTATCCGACAGTGTCGGACGAGTACGCGTCGAAGAGCTACCTCCAACGAGAGAGTACGATCGAGCGCCGACCGAGATCTCCATCAGTCCGTGATCGACGTCGACTCTAAACGCGGGATACTTCGAGCGCACTCATTGCCTGCAGTCGTCGAACGGAGACGGTTGCGGAAGAATCGAGGACGTTGATCGGCAAGTGTCGCGCTCCGTCAGCGCGCGTCGCCTACTTGATGTTGTGCACCGAGAGCAGGTGCTTGAGGAAGCTCGCCTCGATCCTCGATCTGTAGGGGCAGTATTGGCAGGAAAAGTGCGTCTCGAAGGTGACCATGCCGCAACCCATCTTCAGGTGCTTCCGCAGATTCGACGCCCACGAGTACATCTGGCCGCAGCGGGGACAGACGTGCAGTCGCGGCCTCACGATCGGAAAGAGGGGCGCATCTGAAAAGAGAGGTCCGTTAGAGCGCGATCACGGAGATCGCGAGAGGATCGAGCCTCCCTCTGGGGAGGTAACCCCCGAACGAAGCCCGGAGCTTCGACGGGCTCTGTTCTGTTTTCTCTGTCTTTTCGGTCGTGTTTTGTCTCTCGGGACGCGCGAGCGGTCATGAGATGCAAGCGTCGAATGCAACCAAGGTAGTCTCTATACATCGAAGCGCATGCTTGGAGCAAGTCGGGAACGGATCCTCCTCGGAACGATCAGCGAGACGGCGCGCTCTTCGAGTATCGCGCGAGGAAAATTGCCCGAGACGAGAGACGTCTCCGGATTCATGCTCCCAGAAGTATACTTTCCGAACATCAAGAAAAGGACTACGACGAAATCTATGCAAGGATGCGACGGGATCGCAGCCGGTCGTCCTCGAAAGGCGCTTCTTTGGTCCCGAGGGAGGACGCTTTCCGTGACACACGTGCGAACGTCTTCCGGCGCATACGTACTTACTGCCGTGATTGCATTGTCCTGTGCGTGTCTCGCTACCTCGATCGACAGCCGTGATCTGAAACAGAGCAATCCACGAAAAGAACCACGCGAGGGTCAAAGAGAGAGAGCGGAAATCATCACAGAGTTAAGGAGGAGGGCAATGATCATAGGTGTTGCGCAGCAGACGTATACTTTATTTGAGACATAACTTAACAGACATGCAGATGGATCGAGATTGAAGAGTGGTGTCGCGTCACGTGGGCCTCAAAGCATGTCTATCTTGTGCTTGTAGAACATGTGCCTCTTCAGGTTGCCCTTGAAGTTCGACTTGTAGTCGCAGAGGACGCAGTGAAAGTTGGGTGGCTTGCCGCATGCCATTTTCTGGTGTAGACGTAGACTCGACAACCAGGCGAAGCATCGTCCGCACCACTGGCACTTGTGCTTGGTACCTGAAACAGAAGTACTAGTCAGCAAGAAGACTCCTTCGTAATTGTCAGGAACCGGGGAGCAGCTCACGATGCGAACGAGGACGCCTTCCAGCGGGCTGCGGGTCTCTCTATCTGTGAGGTATGCGGCAAGCGCGCGGTTCAATGATTGATGGTCAATGGCCGGTGAAGAATGTCTCTGAAGCGCCTTCACACAAAAAAGATCTTTTTGTTGTCATCGTCTTTCAAGGGAAAATCACTTTCGGAGCATTTTATAAGTATACTCAAACGATCTAAAGTGTTCTTTCATTCAAATATTATTTTATTTGAAAATGGCACAGAAGAATTTTTAATACCATTTCTCGTCTCTGACGTCACGATCTAAAATGGCCGTGGCAAAAACCCAGCAGTGTTAAGGGGAGGTTCTGGTTTAGATTTTTTCGGGTTTAGGTTGGGTTCTTGGTCGAAAAAATAGAAGGTCGTTAGGAATTTTTTCAAAGAAACTAATAAAGATATAAATATACTTTACTCACATATTCAAAACAATGATAGATAGTATGGCTAAAATTTTATATTGATTTGAAGTTTATATTTTATATTGATACCTTCATTTACACTTCTTTGAAAAAAAAATCGTAAAAATCCCCTATTCTTTCGACTGTCCAAACCAGAACTTCCCTTTGAATAATTTAGGATTGCCTTTAGTAATTTATTTGATCAAGGTGCGACATTGTTTAGATGGGTTTGGGACAAGTTTTATTCGCATAACGCGAATATGTTTATTTTTAATGCGAGCGATCACGTCTTACTTGGGTTTGTAGGCTGACTCGGTAGGCCGCTTAGTGACACGTCTGTAGCACCTGTAGATAGATCGGTTCTGAAAAAATATCATCGCCAGATATCGGTTAGCGACAAGAATGATCTCGCGATCGAGTTCTTCGGTTCCCGCGAGGGCTCGTGGGGAAAATGGAGAAGAGACAATGAACACTCGACGCACTGTGTCGGTGAACTCTTTAATGCGGCCACTAAAGTCGCCGATCGCCACTAAAGTGGCGAGATTTACAACGATTTATATAATAAATATGTTTGTAAGTAGGACTGTTAAAATCGAACGCAAATCGCAATACCAGTTGCGACTGATTCGACAATGATATACAAAGGTCTTTACAAATTGGGACGAACATTTCCGTTCGAGGTGAAACACGAATGTACGTAAAACTTGAGTGCACGGTCAACAACTAGTGCATATATCGCCGTTGGTAATCGAAGTTTAGAGATGTCACAATGTGAGAGCTAGAAGAACACATTTGCCATCTAATATTAATCCTTCATGTTAATACGTTGAGAGTTCTGAGGATTCATCGATCCTTCATATCAATATGATGAATCTTGAGGATGTGCTTGTGCAGGCATCTCTTATACCTGGTGCGATGGGGACAGTAAGGACAACGCTCCTGCGGATCCTTGCCGCACTCGATCTTCAAGTGGGTCTTCATGTTCCTCAGCCAGCGATAACTGTTGCCGCATCTTGGACACGTAAAGCAACCAGGGTTCTTGTCGAGGTTCGCTCTTACGAGAAGACCAGTATTGTACGCGATCTTGTGCTGACTAGTGACCTGGTCTTGATGATACTGATACTGATACTGATTCTGATCCGACCACGCTACTACCCCTGCAAGAAAATAAAATGCGGCGGTTAGTAAGTGATCACGGTGATTTCAGGGCGAACAAATCTCGGCGATTGCGACTAAGTGAGTCCATCTCTGGGGGAACTATCGTGCTCAGATCGCAGCAGTTGACACACAGACAATGAGAACACACGAACCGTTCATAGGTGAACTGAAGATCGCTTTAATTAATTTTTAATATCTGACGTGAAACACTTAATTAGATCCCGCATTATCTCTTTCATTTCTCACGTTCGACAATGATTGGATTTGTGTAGGATATTATTCATATAAGCACGTGAAAAAGAATCCTTCCAATTTATTTATTAATACTATAAATATATCCTAGTGAAATACTTACAGTCGCATAAACAGCAATATCTAATATATAGTATATAAAAACAGGAAGATAAATAAAAGCAAATAAAGATAAACGTTTATCATTTTGCTCCCGGGAAAAAAATGATTATATCTTCTTTGTGGTCATACGTAGTTTGATGTCCATGTCAAAAAAAATATTGTTATACAAATACAATTGAAGAAACATTTATATTTGTGTCAAACCACGATGTTTAATTAAATGAAACTATTTTTCTCTTTTCTCATACAGTACCACTGTTTTCCGTGTAAACATATATGATTGTAAATGCGATCGTATAGAGATAAATTTCGTATGTTTATATGCGGACCATTGTATAATTTATATATAATTGTATATGTATAATTTTATATAATGATACATATAATCATGTTGTCCCAGGCTGAAGCTTTTAGTTCATCTGAGGTAAAGCAAGTAAAAAATCAGGTTGAGATAAAACTCAGAAGAGAAAAACTAACATCATATATGGACAGATCGATACCACACAAACACACTCTAAACCTAACAATTCTAATAATCCCAATAATCCTAATAATCCTGATAATCCTGATAAAGAAAGCCAAAGAACAAACCACCTTTGCTTGCGCGTTGGAAAGGTAAACGACAACTAATTAATCATTCAAAGGAAAGAGCGCTTTGCGGAATTTTTTTACCGCGCCAATACATCTACTACACGTCGCAAAATTGTGCGTGAATTCAGATAAAGTACATCATACATTTCTCAGTTAATTTGGCATCGTGAATTTGAAACTACCAGATCCGCGCGGATCAGTCAAAATATACTACACAGCTCAACGATGTAACATATTTACGCGATACTCTACGTACGTAGCATATATGAAAATCAACTACCGGATTAAGAGGACGCTAAATACTGACGTAGCTTTTGTATTTTGCTCGACTTTTCTACTTCAATTGTATATAATTACTAATGCTTGTGCAGAGTGAAAGTGCAAATATTTATGAATGACGGATGTTTCACGTTATCCTGGAAAAAAAATTTGTAAATAAAAATTGTTTCTAATTTTCCATATAACAATAACGTATTATGCTTTTTATTCTGTACCTTCAATTAGTATAAAAATCTGTATAATCCTATGAAAAATGTTTATACAAAATTCTATAAAAAAGAAAGTTATATAAGAAAGTTAAATACCTTCTTATTATAAGATTGTTGTATAACTTATTATATAAGGAACTTAAAACAATTTTTTATTCACACAATTTTTTTTGTTTTTCAGATAATATTCGACACGGTGCATTCATTGACATTTGTATTTTTATTCTGTATTTATTCTGCACGTACATTTGCTATTCTGCACAATCAAATGGAAAAGCAGTGCGCAATACGAAGCTGCAGTTGTGTCGGTATTCAGCATCCTCTTAAAGAGAAATGGAATAATTGGGAAGACGGCTCGGGCGGAAGGCGCTCGCGCGCGTTTACGACAAGCACTAGATGCTGCTAGAGAAGACGTTTTTGCCGGGATGATTAGTGCGGATGTGTTGGTACAAGTTGCCGCGCTGCTTAGTCCTGTGGGCACAGTACGGACACTTGAACTGCGGCTCCTTGCCGCACTCGTGCCGTGTGTGCCTCAGCAAGGTGGCGCGATGCTGATAACCCTTGCCGCACTGTTCGCAGCGATACGGGAACACGCTGCGCTGCTTGGCCATCCATAGCGTAGCCAAGTCCTTGAACGACGGCACCATCGGGTTGTAGCCGCAATTCCGCTGCAGGCTCTTGTGTCCGATCAGGCGCGACGGCATTAACGGGTCTGCAAGCGAGAGCAAGAAGAAAACGGGGAATATTAGTTGTGGAAAGAGAAGCGGCAGGGCTGTGAAGATTTAGGAAAATAACAGAAATTACGGACGCAGCAAGATAGGGGATGCGTTTTATCGTCGAATTAACGGTAACGATTAATTGCAATATGAATGATATTTATAAATGAGATAGATTATTATACATTGCTCTCCAATCCCCCGAATTGATTGGTGAAATCGTTCACACTTCCTCCCTGAGCGTTTGGATTCGAGTCAGCGACTCCGTAAAATTTTGCATCCGCGAGAAACCCAGTTTGGAGCATCTCTGGAGAATCGGATCTTTGCTCTCTCAAGTGCAATCAGTGTTCATTCTGACATGTTGTACCTCTAACTGATGATTCAGTTGTAAGTACAGCATTGCAATCAGTAAGATCTCGCTGAAAGGATCAGTTTATAGTAGCGATTGTTGCCATTATTGATGCAGTTTGCAAGTACAGACAGTGCCGTCGCACGTAAATTGCATGGAAGCCGTTAATTCCATCACCGCGAACGCAGAAAGCTGGATTTCGTACAGCATACAACGAATTTGCGTACTACAGATTTTGCAGTGAAATCTTGGTATCACTGATTGAAATCAGTGAGATATACGATGATGCAGTAAAGTGGGAATGTTTCCATTGAAAACCAGCGAATATTCACTGATTATCGGCGAAACACTCCTTTACCGATTCAATCAGAAATATTCTTACTGATGCACTATAAGAGAGTGAGTTGCCATATTATCTTTCGGTTAATTTCCGAAACTTTGGGTCGCGAGTCCCATCAAGAAGCTTCACTTATTTTGCCTAAAGCACATAAAAATTCGAACATTCAATTCTCCAGAGTGCAAAATATATGAAAAATTAAAAGTCACTAAGCTTTTCAACGAACACTCGTTACTTTCCGAAGAATTAAGGATCCCCTAATATGTAAACTTCTTGTGGGGACTTCTCTCGTTTTTATCGTACAATTTGCCCGATTGTTAGCTCTGCGACGATTGTGTCTGTGAGTGATATAAGAATTATAAATTATTATTAAATTTAGACTCGTCGAGAACGAACTGACGAGAAATTATCCGGAGATCTGCACCAATCATGAAGTCACGATTGAGAATGAATCTTTCCAATGACTCCCTGCGGATTTATACAATAGAAAAATGTGCGAGGATATAAAAGACGTGTGTTACACCGATGATCCTCCTCCTCTTTCGTTCGGCTTTTGCCACGAGCTGCGAATTTCCATTACCGTTGTCCGATCGGGACAATTATCCTCGACATGCCTGCTGATCCCGACAACGGCACTCATCGTGCCGTGACGCGACATGGGTGTAGTTTCATAGGCAAGTCTCTTTGATTATACAATAATTATACTCTCGCGTTGTGATCTGCGCTCTTACTTGCCCTATTTTATTGGTAATCTCTTTGCTCGGAATCCACAAACGAATCATGCGGGATCGGACGAGAGCAGACCGTCGAAATGAGGGACTCGGGATATCGCAGCGTATCAAGTGATGAAACAGTGCAGCCGAACAACGTTCTTACCGGTCCTCCTATCCCCGTTCTAAGCGTAGCAATCGATGCCAGAAGAGAGGAGGGCTTGACAGACCTAAAATTGAATGCACAATCAGAATAATTGAAAGAATTACCTAGAAATCACGCGGACCACTGAAACAAATAAGAATCGAACACTTCTCATCAGATGCTGGACTGTCATGAACACGCAGACTCGCTTTAGATGTAGATAATCTTTGTCTTTGAGGAATAAATTTTATTTCGATTAAATGCGAAAATATCATGTTTTATTTATCCTTTCGAGATAGCGAGACACAGGATACCGCAGAATACCAATAAAATCACTCTTAGTCACTTTTCAACTTCAATATTCTACCGTTTCTCTGTTCGTGGCGCGTCCAAATTCTCATCGCAATGACTAGATACGTCGACATCAGTATTTGTAGTGATCGTGTTGTCACATTTCGAAAGTCGAAACGCGATGATATAGTATCAGCAGTAATAGTACTAGTGACATTAATAGTGTAATAGTAGTACTTTATTCTGTGTTCTGGAAGTAGTTTCTCTCTAAGAATATAGCGTGCGTAATACACAATTATCGACGAAGAAATACAAGAAACGCGGTATAAATGGATATAATATTTACGAAGAATACAAAACCATCGTCTCCCGAATTCGCGCAATTTACAGGAACGGAACGAATAAATATGTCACGTTTTTCGCGTGAGAATGTCCAGCGAGAGAAAAGGGAGGAGAAAAGAAGAGGACACACAGGGCTCGCAGAACGAACGTCGTGCCGGGACGAGATGACAGGGGCGGTTCGCGAGGCAAGTCCTGTTTCGGCGACTATCAAAAAAACAGACGAACGAAAGAATTTGCTCATAACAAAGTCGCAACCCGAGCAAAAAGGAATACGTATAATTATATAAAAAACTATTTATAATAACTATATATAATAACTATATATAATTATATATATATGAATTATATAATTATATATGAATTATATATAATTATATATAATCCATACGCGCACATGGATATTGTCTCTATATGGTCTCATATATATTCACATATAATTACATATGTCCACACGAAAAAACAGTTGTTGAATAGAAAGAAGAGAAAATAGTGGCATAACAATTTTTTTATGAACATTGTACGAACATCGCGGCCTGCCACAAATATAAGCAATTAACTTTAGTTACATTTATGTACAATAGTATTTCTTTTTAGGTAGACGTGCATAATTATGTATGCCCATATATAGCCATAGTGTAGAGAGACAAAATTCACACATATACTTATATGTAATCTGTTTTTCTCGGGAAGGTATGCCTAGAAACCACACGGTGTATGTCACGGTTTTTGATTTGAGTCGGCCTCTCGTCGTGCGCGCGCGCGCGCGCGCGCTCTCAGTTCAAATCGATCACGTAAACATTATTGCCCCGGTGGCACTGGCGGATGTGCCTGTACACGTGACCGCGTTGCTTCATCCTGACGGTGCAGTAAGGACACTGGACCTTCGGTTCCTGGCCGCACTCGAACTTCGTGTGCCTCTTCAGGTGCCACGCGTGTATGTAGCTTTTAGAGCAGCGCGAGCACATGTGCCTCTCGAGGCACTTGAGGCCGTTCCGACGACTCCTCGAGGCGAGCGGCTTCTCGTCGTCGTCGTCGGAGCCCTTGGACTCCATTATCACCATCGGGTGTTGGCACTTCAGACTGGCCTCCAGTTTGATATTCTTTATGTCTAAAAAAAAAAATCAAGAAGACGTGTGGTTAGTTGGGAAGACGTTCGAGACACACACGGATTGAGTGGTCGAGACACCGAGGTGATGAAGATGGAAGAGATAAAATAAAAAGGAAAGAAGGTGATGGGATCGTGGAGCTTGCGAAACGTCAATGTTACCGCGAGTTATTCCCGTCACCTGACCCTGAGAGGAGCGCAAGCTCGCGCAAGGATCTGTCTTCGTTTTACCTGCTCGGCTTGCGCGCCAGCAAGCCAACCAAGGCGAGCTGCGAGTTCGATCGCCTTGAGGAGCTGGCACATACACAGAGCGGGCGTTTGGTACATGAGGTGCAAGGAAATCAAACGGGCATCTCGATTGCTCGCTTCTCTCGTGGGAACGAACGCGGTTTGTCTCTGACAAAACTAGATCTTACTATTGATCGTCTTCTCTCGCTGGTAACTGCTACTGAAATTCAAAGAAAAAAAAAAACAAAAAAGAGGAGAAGGACAAGAGACCGTCCAACGTGGGCGCTCCAGCGAGAAATTCAGCGATACAAGAGGAAGCACTTCTCGAGGTGTCCGATGGTAATCGTGAAGGTGATTTATTCCATCAGTACAGTTCCACAAGTACACAGTTAACAAGCTGACAAGTTACATCCAACAATAAGAATCAAGTACAACGCCGCCGCATGGATATGTCGGATGCGTTGTCGATATGGTACGGGTTGACTGAAGAGGGTCGCGAGCATACTCGAATCATAATATAAGATCAACTTTTATTCTTGTCGATCTTATATTTTGTTTCGCGCATGCACGTTGGCAAGAAAACATGAACAATCGTTGTTCGCGAGCTGGAGGAACTGTTTCCCGAAGGAAAAGGCGGCGGCGGCGGCGGCGGCGACGGCGGCAGCGGCGGCGGCAGCGACGACGACGACGACGACGACGACGCTGAAACGACGCCGGCAACTCATCAGGGCGAGTCGATGATGTAGATCCGTTGACCAGAGTGTTTCCTGCGTATGTGTTGGCTCACGTGGGCCCGCTGCTTGCTGCGAGTGCCGCAGTATGGGCATTTGAACCTCGGCGTCAAGCCGCACTCGTAGCGCAGATGTCGCCTGAGACTTTTGACCACGGTGTAACCGTTGCCGCACTTGGGGCACACGTGTTTCCTACGATCGTTCTCGAGATGTCGAATCGTGGCCCCCCTGATACTCTGACCGGCGTCGAACTTCATCGAGTTGTACGGCTCGCCACCGTAACTTCCGTAAAGAAACCGGTAAGAGCGCTCCACTGAAAACAGACAACAGGACGGTTAGTAAGAAGGAGAAGACCGGATGATTGTGAATGATCGGTGATGAGGCGTGAAAAAACCGTCGAAGAGGCACGATTCCCCTAAAAGTGAATTGATGTATGCATGAGCGCGATGTTCGTCGCGTCGATGAGTAAGTGTCCGCGAGAGGTGCGAGGTGTCCAACTTGCGTCGCACTTCACAACTGGTCGGGTCGAGCCGCGTGAGGCCAGGGGCCTTACAGCGAACGCGCCAATATGTCTTTTTAATTCCGAGTTTCCTTTTAGTTATACGACAGCGTCAGGTATAAACTTCGCTTCAACTTCAGAATCAGAAAGGTATATTTAGCGTTCACAATACGGCCCCTGTGCTAAGATTCTGTAACTCGTTATTGGAGTTAACGACGGTTTCGTTATCGTTGCGCAACTTTTATATACTGTAGAAAAATTGCGCAACGATAACGAAACTGTCGTTAACTCCAATAACGAGTTACAGAATCCCAGCACTGAAACCTTATTCTGGAAGTATAACGAATTTAAACGTATCTTTTTAATTCAAAATTTAATCTCGCTTATGTGAGCGTCACGTATAAACTCATTTCAACTTCAGAATCAGAAAGGTATATTCAACGTTCGCTATGTGTCCAGAATACGGCCCCTGGGGTCTTTTTCTGGAAATACAACGAATTTA